TCACAATTTCTGCGAATGCTTTCAATTGGCCTTATTATAGTTAGACCAGATTTTGCTGATGTGAGACTAAGCCATTGACTCAGACACTCAAATTGTCCTTGATAACTCATCCTGACTTTGGATTAACCCTTGTTACCAAGGGGAGGTTCTTTGCTTTTGCAATAGAAGGCTTTTTGCTTTTGATTTCATATTAGTTTCCATGTAAACATATAACTATTTTCCTTGATCCATGAATCATAATAATGGTAAAAAATGGACTTTGAAAACATCCTATGTGGATACCTAATGGTTCCTCACAACACTGTGATAAAGAAGGTGAGCACCCTAACACATAGAGGACAGTAGTGACTTGTCAAAAACTCATAGCAAACTACCAGTAGAAGGGTGTTTGTGAAACATTACCCTGATCTTCTCCTTCCTTTCAACGTGTTTTAAATACCCATACACAATCACATACAAGCTTTTTGCAAGATGAAATTCAGCCTCTCAGCAAGGAAAACGATATATTCTTAGTATATTCTCCGAAATTTTTACTTATGGTTGGCTTCCTTTTTCCTCTTTTCAAACTGAACAAAGCATTCCTTCCAGAAGGCAATCTCTTTTAAAATACACAATTTTTGACATTATCTAAACCAGGAAATAAAGCAGTCTGGGAAAAATATCTTAAAATATGAAAAACATTTTATTATGTGCCTGGTTAGTTGAAAAGCAGACAAACAGAATCCTACAAAACTTTCCAGAAGAATTTACCTTTAGGCTGAGAACAAGTATGGAAAATTCAGGGAGCTTCTTCAAATGTTTACTTTTACTAATCTCTTCTTCTTGAAAACACAGAGGGGTAAATAAAAGATAAATGAGCACTGTGCTCTTGCAGTGAAGAACACCTCTGTCTCCTGAGGAATATGCTCAGTGGAGGAACTAAGTAGTACTCCATTGGTTAATAGTCCTGAGTTCACTGTAAGACTATGTCTGAAACTATTTTCTCCAGAGACCAGAGATTTTGAAGTATGCACCTTATCTATAGACAGAGGTTTTAGAAGGATTTTCTGAGATTGTATGTGTGTCTCTCTCTGTCTGTCTATCCATCCCTCCCTCTCTTTTTCTAGTAGAAACCTTTTGCATCCGGGTGACCTGATGGCTGCTAGCAGGTTTCTCTGATCTGTCTCTGTAAATGACATGCAGAAGGCTTATAAAGCAAACTCTCATGTAGCAGAATTTTTCTCTCACTCATAGAAATCCTCTGGTTTTGCTGCAGATGTTTTTCTGTCATTCTTTGCATCCCCACTTTCTGCTTATGCTGCAGAGCATCATTCCCATTGGTTTTCAATGAATAGAGGAAAGAGAAAAGAAAGGGAAAGGAAAGGGAAAAGGAAATTACAGAGGGAAAATCTACAAAATTGTCTGCAATTCCCAACAGGCACTAACAGCAGTGTCATTTTTAACGTGGTCCTGGGGACACTTGTGTTTGAGCAATTACCTTTTTCTGGAAAATCCTCTGAGGTTGTTTAAATTAGCTTGTTTTAAGTTAATATAAATTCAACATCACTTACAAAGATTCTGGTATTAGCTCATGGAAACATTGTTTTTATATAATTAGTTCTGTCATGTTCTGACTTTCTGAAAATTACAGGATTGTTTGCTATTTTGACAGAATGCTGACACAACAATCATTTATTTCCAATAAAATACCCCAAAGGAATAAATACAACTCTGTTATAGTTATGTAAAAATAAGGCTATCCTAGGAACTAATTGATCATACAATATGTCTAATTTCATTATATTTGACAATGATACAAATGATACATGCTAACTGCTAGTAGTTTTCTTATGTGTTTAGGCTGAAATACTTATCAATATTCTTGGAAAATGCATTTCTGTAGGCAAGTTTTGCAGAGAGGAGGAAAATCAATCTTAATTGTTCTGAGTTCTACAAGAAGAATTAACAGTTACTCTATGCTGAGCACTAGGTTTATGAAAGTCACTGAAGGCTACAAACTTTTTCCAAGTGATGTTTTATAGAACTGCTTTTAAAAATCCCAGAGGGTAAATAGTATTCTCAGAATAAACAGAAAAATGCTGACCTGGTCAGATTTAGCTGCTGAAAGCCAAGCTGTTTTAAAACTTAGAGGATCAAGGGTCATGGTAATAAACAACACAGATAAAAAGAAAGAAAGCAAGGAAAGAAAAAAGAAAGAAAACTGGAAACAAAAAAGGACTACACAGTGAATATAAGTAATAAATATGTTAACCTTGATAAGAAGAATATGAGATATTTATGCAAAAGCCAGGCAGGGGTGAAGAGATCACAAAGAGGGAAAGAAGAGAAAGTGCACAAATTGTACTTGGGAAAAAATATTTCTTAGAACTTGTTTAGAAGCCGGAAATGAGTCATTTTATCTTCATGTGTTTTTGGTTTTGAAAGGAGAGAAAGGTCAAAGCTTCTTTGTTTTAAATAAACTGGTCACTAGTTCTGAAGTGTAATATGATAGGGTTCAAGAATCCTAATGAAACTGGTATTTTCCTGACACCCTGGGCTGCAGCACCTCGGCAGTTGTATGGTCATGTATTGTAAGCCCAGGGAGTTTTATAAACAAAGGCATTACAGGGCCTGCCTTTGCTCATGACCTTCATACCCTGGTGCTCCTGTATCAGCCATATGGGCAGTGTGATGGCTAAATTTGCCACCATTTACTTTCCCAAATTGCAGCTGCATACATGGCCCTCCACCGTTATGCTCAGAAACATGCACTAGAGTTACTACCTTTGGCCCCGTATGATGCCTCTTTCCAAAATTATTTTGTTGAGGTTAAGTTTAATAGAAAACAAAGTGCTGAGACACTCAAAGTGACACAGAAATTAAAAATGCCATTGCAAAAAAAGGCAGCAGGAATGCTACAGCCAAAAAGCCCCCAGTCCATCAACCCAACCCAGAAAGGTTTTAACAAGGCTTTTGGTATAAGTGAGTTTGCTGAGGTCTGGAGTTTACTAGAGCCCTCACAACTGTGTCTACTGGGAGTTTGTTGTGTTTACCAGATTCTAAATCTAAGGTACTCAGCTTCTAACTGCAGGCCAAGAAACACTTGCAGAGGGAATGAGATAATAGCAAAGAAACAATATAGATGAATTTCAGTACTGCCTTGTACTGGAACACCTGATGGTAAAGGAGAGTCTTCATGCTGTGCAAACAGAAAAGGAAATAAATAGTCCTATATAAGATTAGAAGTCAAAAGAACATCTCACAAGCAGGACAAGAGAGGAAAAACTCCAATGGAAAATAAATGGAACAATCTCTTCCTATTGTTCAAGGTGTGCTTATAGAGTTACAGAATGGTTTGGGTTTGAAAGGACCTTCAAGATCATCGAGTTCCAACCCACCAGTCATGGACAGGGACAACTTCCAAACCTAGAGTAGGTTGCTCAAACCCCATTCTGGCCTGACCTTGGACACTTTTAGGGATGGGGCAGCCACAACATGTGTAGGCCACCTGTGCCAGTGCATCATCACCCTCACAGTAAAGAATTCCTTTCTATTTTCAGATCTAAACCTGCCCTCTTTCAGTTCAAAACCATTATCCTTCATTCTGTCAATATGTAGCCTTGCAATAAGAATGTGTGTAGCACTTAATACAGGTCTTCACATCAGGCTTGTGTGGACAGCAATCTCTTAATAGTTAAACTCCCATGTCCTATTATTTTGCACAAATGCAAGGTTTTCATCTTTGTCTCAACTCATAGGACCTTTCTGTTCTTCTTGACATCCTTTACTGACATGCTCCTGAGAGCATTCTCTTCCAGACTGAGAATTCCTCTAAATTTTGTTTGCTGATTCATGCTGCCACTTATGTTTAAATGTGAGATATCAAGCTATATCTGTAATATATTGCTCCTGTTTCTTTTCTTTATCACATTCCAAGCCTTACCCATTAGATAATATCCTAAATATATAGAATACTTTCCATCTAAAAGTTCTTTCCTACATTGCTTCTGTAATTACTTCAGTATTAGACTAAATGTTCTTTAGAAGACTCATTTCTTCTTCTGGTGTTCATAATACATCTGCTGCAAAAGGCTATTTGTTCCCAGACCACTAGAGACCACAATGAAAGAGCACACTTATACAATAACATGGGGATATGTATCACTAGCTACAAAATTGAAAGGCAATTATGGTAATGAAAATTGTGAACTTTTAAAATGACCAGCTTCATTATTCTTTGTGGCATCAATCCCCAAACTGGGACAATTAGTCAGTTTACAATAAAACTAAATAAAAGGTGACTGATTCATTGGACATTACCTGTTTCAGAGCTAGCATCATGCTAGGTCTGAAGCAGCTTGCTGTTTGAAGTAGCACTTGAAATTACCTATTATGCAGGAGCACCCCAAGAGCTTGGATTTCCTACTTTGACCTTTCTTCAACATTCCACTTTCTATTGTGCCTTCTCCTTTTTCTCTAGCCTTGAATCAGTCTGTCATTCATTCAAAATGGAGCAATAACTGGAGGTAACAATTCCTTTCCAGTTTATTTTACTTTCCTCTTTACCTTTCTACTTACCCATGTCTGCCGTAGGATTTTGTGCCTGAGAGAAACCAGCCTGCTTTGACTGTTGTGATCCTGAGACATCTGAGAATGAATTTCTGAGGATGCACTGACAACAAACATGTCATGAAAGTGAAGTAATTTAACAGAGCAGAATTAGGGTGCTTAAGCTGAACCCTATAAACAAAGACTATGCCTATACCTTGGCAGAAGCCAGGAGGACTAAACAAAAACCAAAACAGAAAAAAACATGATAATTTCAACCTCTCCCTTGAGTATGGTGCAGGCAAATCAAATACTGGTTTGGTTTGGGTTGTTTGGTTTAGATTGCTAACACACCAAAGAGATTCTTGATCAGAAACCACCAATCAGTAAATACTACATTGTGTTAGAGGTACAGGGGAAGGTATTGGTCTTTATTGTGCGCAGTGAAAAAGGTTGAAACATTGCTTTCTTACCTTGAAACACTTTATGATTGACTTCAAAAAATTGATGTTCACAAGACATCTCTAAGTCATGTTTTCCTGCTTATCCACCTGTTGGAAAGAAAAATGAACAAAATGAGATGATATTCAGACCTATGACAAGCTTTTCTAAAACTTGAATGAATCTACAGTCCTTCTCATTTATTTTTGTATCCCTCCAGAGGGAGAAAGATTAATTGTAAAAATACTAGTTTGCTTTTCCACCCAATCTGGAAAACAATGCAATTATAACAGGTTCAGTAGAGCTTCAGATATGTCATTGATCCATGCATATTTGTAAACCTTTGGAAAGTTTCTTTGTTATTGAGAAGTCATCAGATTAAGACCTAAATTGAAGAAGGATGTTCCTGTGAGTTAGTGTTAGACTGGGAATCAGAGACTCACTCACTGCTGGAACTGTTATAGACTTGTTTTGTGATTTTGGTTGTGATCCAGCAATGCACTTAAATCGTTATTTAATATAAAACCCCGGAGTGGTGCCTTGAAATTTAAGCACACAGTTAAGTCTTTATTAAACAGGAGAGTTAGTCGGTCTGAACTCATTTCTCTAGCTATAAGATGTGTTAGTACTTATATTCTCCTACAGTTTATTTTTACAGAAAACCTTCTGGAGCAAAAAATATATCTTCTGATCTGTGCAACACCACGACCAACTGATGTCAGCTGGAGTCTGTAAAAATCATTCTGCTGCAAAGCAGTGATAGTCAATGAATTATCTTCTCATCCTTTGGAAGCAAGTAACTGTTATGAAAATACTATTTTCATGGAGGCTTAATGGAGAAGGGATAAGGGACATTTACCAGTTTCACATCACTCACATCCTTCTGGTTTAAAGTCCTCCTCTGGCTGCAGTCCCACCTTCTCCTGCTGCTGGCTGGAGAAGATTCAAGCTGCTTCTTCAGCAGACAGCCGTAATTGCTGTGATACAGCAGCAGGGAGTAAGTAAGGCAGTAAGAGAGCAGACTAATGTACCTGCACTAAAGCCTGCAGTTTGGGAATGAAATTGAATGAATTTGCAATATTTTGTCTCATTTCTTAATATTTTACAGTTAATTTTGATAAATCTCTTTTTTAATACTGTGCTGTAAGGGAGCTCCCAAAGCCTCCTTTATTTCACGGTCTTTGCATGCTTCCCACAATGGATTGTGAAGTCTCTGTACTTGCCCAAATACAGTTAGAAATTTTGTTCACAGAGTGAGAAAGAGTGCTCACAAGTAAGAAGGATGATTCATTTCTACAGCAGCACTGAGAATATGTAAGCAATACAAATCATCAATAATTCACTTTAATTTAAAACATAATTGAATCCTCTCAGATCCTTTGAATACATTCTGGCTACATATATGACATGGCTACACATTACATTGTATGACTATCTTTTTTCCTTAGAAAATATACTTATTTCTCCTTATCTTTATTTCTACAAAACCAGAGAGAAAAATCCATTTTGTGCTTCTGTGTCAGACAGTCTACCTGCAATTTCTGAGACAGGCCTGATGTCTCTAAGGCCCATAACCTCTTGTGCTCATTCATCAAAGAACCCATGATCTAGCTTCTACATTTGGATGACAAGGAGGAGACTGCTAATTGTCTTGGAAATGTAAAATAAACACCTTTTCTACATATGTTAATGCCATTGTTTATTGACTACTTAGGTTGGATATAATTGGGGCCACTTGGGAAACATAAACAGCTCAGGGCCTGTCAATACCTGACCTTTAGAATATTCAGTACAATCAGTGTTACGTGGTGTTTAACAAGCTGGCCTTTTCATGTGGATGCAGCTGTAGTTGCCATGCAAGAAGGAATGAAGATCCTGTTCTTCCTTACAAACTTTTAGAAAATATTTTTAATTTCATCTGTGGTGTTGACGTAACTCAGAACAAAATAAATTCTACCACTGGAAATGTAGTTTGCAGTCACAATCTTTGAAAAAAGTGAGAACCAGTTTCATGTGAAAGTCAGGGAAAAAACCAACTCCAAAGCAGAAAAGTGAAAAGGGGCCACGATGTTAAACAGTTTAACTAAGAGTATCTTCATGCATTATGACATATGGCAAATGTAAATTAAGCCACCTTCAGGGTGTCATAAGCAAAATTTTCAACAGTGCTTCTGATGACTGAGAGGGTCTTGAAGAATCTCTCATCAGCAGACCATAAAGACTAAAACACAAGCTATCACTAACATGCAGATGTTATCAGGATGTGACTTCAGGACAGATACAGATCCTGATGGGGAGAAAAAACTGCAGATGTTTAATTGATTATTGTGGAAACTAATTGCAAACTATTCTATTTAATTATTTAAATTTTTCATAAAAGAGATACTCTATTCTTCAGCCTTTATTGCCAGTGGGTAAGTTAACACTTTTTCACTGAGCTAATTAAAACTGTTAATATTTCTGAGCAGACTGATAGATAAATATTTCCATTTCAAATTATTCTTTGAAAGAAAGAAAGGAACAAACAAACAAAAAAGAAAATCTCAGGCATACTGCCTTCAAAGAATGAAATATATAACATTCTATTTAACAGAAGATAACAAGGAATCAGAAACTGTTCATACAATGGTGACTTACTTTACCATCAAAAAAAAAAAGAAATAAAGAAAAACAAAATGGAAAGACAAAGTGACAAAATTAATTTAGAAAATAGAAGTTAAGGCCAGTAATTTTAAGATAACATTTCTTACAAAGTACAAACAACACTAAGAAAGCAATTGTACAGACTTTAGTCTTTGTTACTGTTTTTATTTACTGACCATGATTTGTATAGATGGCTATTACAGTTTTCACCAGCCTCAGAAAGTCCTGGAAATGGGGGAGTAAAGAAAACCTTTGGAAGGATTATGAGTACCAGGCAATGAGACTACAAGTTCTCTACAGCAAATACAAATTTCCACATTCTTTTGGTGACTTTTCACTTCCACAGGCTGTACTTTCCATATTTCAAAAAGCTGAAAGTCAAATGCTTTGGTAACATTCCTTGAAGTGAGGACCACTTTTTTCTTTCTTAATCAGCTAAAAAAATTTAGTGTCTTAATAAACTAAAAAACCCCAAACAAACCTAAATTAAATTTAAACTAAGTAAAAAAGTGAAATAAAACAGAACAATAATATAAGATAAAATATCTTTGATGTTACTCCCTCACCAAGTGGCTTTCAATATTCCATCAATTGGTGTTTTCTGCTCAGAGTGTAGAGCTGAAATAGGTCAGTTTACTAGTGCCCTCTTCTGCTTTACACTGGTCTCTGCTGCCCTCTCCTAACCTCTGCTCTCCCTTCAGCAGTGTCTGTTCTTCCACCCACTGATCCAGCAGGACCTTGGCCCCCTTAGGTCCCTCATGTCAAACAAGCAGGCATCTACTACATTACATGGCCTGAAGGTGACTGCACAGGGATAGAAGGGGAGAGAAGAGGCGGGAGTGCGGGGTGGGGGGGGGTGGGGAGGGGGAGAGACAGAGACAGAGAGCGAGGGAGGGAGAGAGTCCTTGGAAAGGTAGGATGGCATCCCTGAGCAAAAATACATCAATCACACCAGTCCAGCTATCTCAATTAACCCTTAGTTAAGCTGAGACCTTCTGGAGAAACAGAAAAGAATTTGAGGGAATATGAGATGCTATCTGCCACAAGGATTACCAATCTACATGTGGATCAAAGACAATTCCACATTTTACCCTAGTGATTAGCTGTAATTAAATAAAGTAAGTCTGTTTAAACTTCATTAGCAGCAAGATATTTGCTACAGCAGAGTGGGCACAAATCATCCATTCTTAATTAAAAGATAATCCACAGGATGACCATAATCTTGTTCTAAAAGTACACTCTTTCCCCTTGAAAGATTTCTTCATCAAATAAGGATAAATAACAGTTTCTCTCTGTTTAAGCTACAAAGGAATGGATGCTCCTTCCCATTTGCTTGAATGAGTGCTGAATGTGCCTGATAACATCACTTTGGCATGCTATTATCTAAAATGGTAGAATACCTCACTTCAGCAAAGTCTGACATAAATCTTTGAAAACAAAGAAATTGCATATGTATGAGCTGAAATAGATATGACAGTGTTGGCACATTAATATTCCTGTCACTGGGGGTTTCAAACTTTTAAGGGAGATTATATCAATGAATTCAGGCTGTAGCTAGTGGAAGAGGACAATGTACTGCAGGACAATTATTAATTACATACACCAAAACATATTAAAAAAACATACAATACAGTCTAAAATGTATCATGGTACACCAGAGCTAAAGATTCCTCTGAGTCCTACTGCAGCTCCATTGTGGGAGGATCAGTCCTAGTCAGCAGCAAAAAGACATTTCCCTTTCTACTTCTACAGTTGTGGTGGTGGTGGTGCATGGATAACATATGTTTTCAATTGTCACATAACAACCCTCATTAACAGTAACTGCAGTGCCCAGCTGAACTCTGCCCAGTCTGAAATGGATCATTATATATGGTACGAGTATGATGTGAGGGTATTCAGTAGGGATCTTTTATTGTTTCGTGCTAGAGTGTGTAGAAGATGTTAAGAAAAAAGTATTATGTCAGTGTCTTCTAAGTAACACCAAAGCTGAAAATGTCCTATTTTATTCTGAGGAGGAGGGAAAAAATATCCAAAATTTTTATTTATGGTCCTTTGGCTTAGTATATACACTGCTTACTCAGCTCTGCCCCTTGTGATGGGAATACCTGGACAAACTACAGGAATTAGAGATCACAGACATGAAGATTACATTGTAAGATCTGTGGGGCAGAGCCTGTTAACTCAATGAGGTACCTTGATGTCTTTTGATCTTTAAAAGTAAGTGAGGAACATGAAAGCCACTTAATCAGCAGAAGAAAATTCATGCTAAAATCAAACCCAGGATCAAAACTCATGATTGAATCTGCATATAATTCTACAAGTAGCTTTTTAAAATTTTTTAATGCAAGACTTACTGGCAGTGACTATACAGCATGTACTTGTCCAGTGACATGCTGACCTTCAGAGATAGGACAGAAGGGCTGCTTAAAAGCTTTTACACCCTTTACTTTTTAACTCAC